ACGGCCATCCTTCCTCTGTTTGCGTTTCCGGGGCTGCAGGCGCTTGATGGCACCCCTCTCCTTGTCTTCTTGCTTCGTGAACAGGTCAAGCAGGCACCCCCCACGCTTGCAAAGATGAAACGTATGTTCGACCGAAAACTCTAGTTGCGGGAAACGCTGGGAGACACTGACTTCCATGCTGAACTCTTGAATTCTATCCCGAACCCTCAGCCTAGGCTGGCGGAGACCTGCACCATCGTCTTGGCGACGGCAGGCACTGCAGGTCGCCGCCGCTCTCGGCGAGAACATTCCTGCCAAATGGAAATACAGCAGGGACGGCCCATGGTTTATGCGATGCTGATAGTGGTGAACTATTGCTAGACATGGCCCAAGGCTCAGTTTTACATAGTGCGAGTGAGCTCCGCTGGTGTCATCGTGACAACCGCCTTACCCCTCACTACAAACACACGAGACCCGACGCAGGGGGTGGAGAATCCGCAAGATACACCGCACGAACATGGTGTTCAATTCGTCGCGACTACGGCACAGGTAGTGGCGATCCAAAATTAGGGCAACCCCTGGAGGCTTCTTTTGTCACATTCCTACTGGGGAACGAAATCGCCAGTCGATTTCGTTCGTTCCTCGGGGCCGACCTAGCGTCTGAAGATGACCTTCTCGTGCGACGGCGCTGCTGTCATTTACGGAGGGTGCCGGAAAAAACTCTTGACGAAAGCACTCCACCTTACGCGCTCCAAGAGAATAACGAGGACATACCAACCACTCACCGAGGTTCAACGTGATCTCCTTCCTGTACTCCGTAGGCTTTGTCGCGGTCCGGGCTGTGTGTGCTGAGAACTCTGGCCCCAAAGGTAATGCTCTCGTGGCATGCGCGCATGGCGCGGCGAGTTTTTTTGTGCTGGCCCCTTCCCGGGTACCGTGTCTGCTGAGCTACCATGTACGGAGCCCCGTGGGGCCTTTTTTTTTGCTTTTTCCACCGCGTGCAACCCGGGTGCCAACGGCCAGCTGTATCTTTTCTGGCTTGTCGTCCATCTGGGTGGACTCGAACAGCAGCATCGCGAAAGAAGCATGGGCAACATAGATAGCGGTCCCGAGGGTTCGCTGGGGGCCGTGGACTCCCTGAAGCATCGATTGCAGTCACTCGAGGAGACCATCCGATCCATCGAGGTAGGTGTGTAGTTTACCGTATATGACACAAGATAAGACACCCCCTTGACCACTTTTCGAAGCTCGATTTCTCGACTGCAGGAACAGTCACAGCGCCGACAACGGCGGCGTTGAATTCGTTTTATTGAGAGATTTTCGAAAATGTATCGTTTCGTTTATGCATCCTCTTCGTCGTGGAGTAATCGAGCTTTGAAAATCGGTCCAGGGGGTGTGTTATCTTGTGTGTGTCCAGTCTAGTCTAGTCTAGGGGAAATGGCTCTGCGCGGTGTGTGTCCATCTACGGCATCACGCATCCCCACTATCCCAACCGAGCACATCAATCGAAGCAACGGAGGGTAGCACCGGCGCGACAACACCCCTGTTCCGGGTGCATCTGAGGCGTTCTTGATCAACGAAACGAAGGTTTTACATGTATATTGTTTGACACTACAGTGTGGACACCCGCTTCAGAAATATTGTGCGGTACGCATTGCGAGGGCGACTCTCACCACCCTCCGCAGCCAGCAACGTATGCTCTCAGCCAATCAACTGGCTCAACAGTAGGACACAACCACATCGGACGGCTGTGCACGGACGACTGCTGTTTTGGTCGGTTCGGGAAATTCAATATTTCAGGCCGCTCATCAGGATGCCCAAGGCGACCACTTCCCGGCACCCGGCGCAGCGGATATGTGCCTCTACGGTGCTCGCCTGGTGTGCACGCCTGGCGTACAAGTCCTAACCGGTCCCATCATCGGCGAAGTTACCCAAAATTCGGCGGTGAGCATTCCATGTGGTTCAATCTATGTAAGATAGTCAGCACCAACTTCCACCTTCCTTCGCCTGGTACTCGATAAATAGCAAGCAAGCTCGTTCCTGCAGAACACCCCCTTTCAACTCTCCAAGCGACCACCAGCAGGGTACTCACTGGCACTCCGTGCGTTCATCTCAAGTGTGCCGGTGTTGTACTCACGGTGTTTTTTTCTTCTGCTACTCATGTCTTGGCACCTTCCGCACCGATCGACTTGCACCCGTTGTGAGTTCCCTGAGTTTCAAATCGTTAACCCGCGTCCCTTGCGCATTCCGCCTACCACCGAAATGCACAGGTAGTCCTTCTAGAGGTGGACATCGCACCCGAGTTAGGGCCAACGTCCCCAGTAACTTGCCACGTGTCCGTATCAGAGGGTGCCTGCCGAGGCGGTCGCGTTGTGCATTCCACAACTCTTACCCTACCGTCCCGCCGACCAAGGGCCTTTCGAATAGGAGGGGGAGGAAGCAGCGTCATCGGGCCCGGGCGAGCCTTCACCGTGTGCTTCGGCGGCGTTAGCGCAGAGGATGCCCGTTTTCGCGTTGGAAGGTATCGTTCGAATATGATTGCAGGGTGGGCAGCGACGAATGTATACATTGTTTTCCGTCAACTTGGGTGTGTGGAAGTACATGTCCTCTTTCCAATATTCACACGGGTCTATTCACGATGGCTTGAGAGATTCGTCCTCGACGGACGTTTACGAGGTGGAACCCTTGTCAAAGGCCACCTTCCACACACTCTCTCTCACACACAAACACCTCTAGCCTAAGCCTACTCACAGGAAAAACTAATATTTCCTCGCTGCCGGTCGCGCCTCCACATACGTGACCACGCCGGTATCGTTCCCAGAACTTTCTTCCTCACCCCGAGCGCCTGCATCCCGTTGAACGACAGGTTTAGGACGCCCAGCACCTGCTTCGAGCCTTGTCTTGGAGCGATAGCCGTGAGCGGGGATCGCCCGGACCGACTCGCGCCGGGAGAGCCTTCGCTGTGGCGCGTCCTCCGCGAGCGCGTCGCGGTTCCGAGCATCGTCCCGGGGAACGTGCCAGGTGCTAGCGGTGATGGGAAAGAAGGGCACCAGCACTACCATCCAATCGACGTGGTGTTGCATGCCGGAGGCCAGGCGTGGATGGCCGACGCCTTCGAGGACGCCTGGGAGCTGCTGAGGAGGCGGGCGATGGAACCGGTGCTCTGCGCCGACGGTGGGTGGCGGGAGGCGCAGGAAGAGGCAGAAGAATGCCTGCGTGAGGTCAGAGCGTGAGGAAAAACAAACAGTGGACGCGACAGAACGGTGACAACTGTTTCGTTTGGTCTGCTGCTGATGAGCATAGACTCGTGCACCGATTTTTTTAAGTCTACGGTTGTATGTTTGTTCTCGACCTGTCGATCGTTCATGTATCGGAAGAGCGCAAGGAATGCGATTGGCAGAACAAGGGTGGTTGCGTCGTCACAGCGCGTGACGTGCCAATGGCAACAAGCGCACGCAAAGATCACCCTAACCCTTTGTCCCTTCTTCAACCCAGGCTATCAGGCGGTCGTGGAACCTCCCGGACAAGCGTGCCGTGCTGTCATCGGTTTCCAACCTCATGGTTTGCGGAGCCGCGGACTTGCACCCCGATTTCGAAGGGCATTTGGCACGTGTTTCGTCGAAGTCAGGCGACGGTGTCAACGCGGGAACGGGGAGTGCAAGACGGGGAAAGAGATTGGCTCGGAATTCCGGAAAAGAAAGGTTCGTGTAGGCAGATGTGACAGCCCAACCAGGCAGGTTTCCGGTGGGTTACGATCCTTCTGTCCAATTTTGTGGAAAAGGGGTCGATCGTTTCTTTTCATGCTTTAGTTTCGGCGTGTAGCGCGCCCAGCATATGCTATTTCCTGGACAGAACGATAAACCACACGAAGCAACCCAAAAACTACCGAACGCGCTGCGACCGAGGCGAGTTTCTTACCGTATTAGACGCAGGAAAAACATCTGTCCCGCCACGCACCCCATACCATAGTAACCCTCGCCAGCACTCGCTGCCTTCGGTAAACCTTGTGAAGCACAAGGTACACCAGCACCTCTGTAATTAGCTGGTCTTGTACACTCCGTCGCCATCAACTCGGGAAAGAAACAGATTCTTGGTACCCTGAAAGCGCAGCTGCCGCACGCTGGAGGAGGTGAGGGTACCGTGGATCGGACGACCACCATCCGCGACGAACCGGATTGTTTTCCTGCGTCGTAGGTCAGCGCACTGATTTGTTTTGGCTTGTTCCAATGCTCGCGCGCATCGCGTGGCGCGGTGATCGTTCTGCGTCGGACAGGCACGAGATCCGGGCCCTTCACGCAGCGGTCCGAGCCTGCCGCCGCGTATTCAGCGAGTACCAAGGCCAGCTTCTGTGGAAGGCGTTGTCGAAGGGAGGGGTGCGGGGGGGGGGAGACGTGGAGGACTTGGCCGCGGCTTTCGAGGCAGAGGTGATTGTTGTCGTTGTTGTTGTTGTTGTTGTTGTTGTTGTTGTTGTTGTTGTTGTTGTTGTTGTTGTTGTTGTTGTTGTTTTTGTTGATGTTGTTAGTGCTGTTGTTATTGCCTCGCTGCAGCATGCCTAGCGCTGTTGCCATGCGTGAGCCCCGGTTAAGGATGCAGGATATCCTTTTCAATGTCGAGGCATGACGTCGCGTATGTGCGGCTTCCTGATACGCTCAAAGTCGACCACTTTAAAAGAGAGGAAATCAAAGACAAATGAGAAAACCCTACGCTGGTTTGTGGTGGTGGCACTCGAACAATGCTAACCTTTATTAGATACGCTATCGAACCACTATTTTCACATGCTGTTTCCGTTGACACAAGAATATCGTTGTGAGGAGAGACCAAAATCGTGGCTTTCGTATATTCGTCAAACGACGGACGAAGGAAACCATCCATCGACGAAACGAGCATATGCAGCCAACAAAAAGCCGTCTTCTATGGTGCACCGAAGAGGCTTCCGCCTCTCATTGCAACCCCAACCCTGCTTGCACCTGCCCGAGCGGGGATCGGAGTAGATTCGATCAGAATATTCATATCAGGACATCGGCACAACAAACTGCTTAGCGCAAGACCGTGCCGTGCTCTGGGGGCACTGTTTTCGTAGCCGATGCGTTCCCTGGAGTAGCACGCGGTCACTATTGGTCTGCCAATCGTGTGACATGAGCCTGACATGGCCACAGAAAACAAGCCACCAAGATCTTCGTTGAGCGCGTTCTGCAGGAGCACGGCGTGGCGCGACAGTCGCGCTCCTCGCGGCAGCGGTGTTAAGTGAAACCTACGGTCGATGGGGGTGAACAAGCAAGGACGTTCCTACCGTAGCAACACGGCAAAACTTATCGATGGGCCGAACGTGCCGCTAGGAGCTTCACAACCGATGCTCTGTGGCGCGTGATCAATGGCTGAGGCAGGCAACGAACGAAATCATCCTCCCCCAGTCCTCCTCGCGCTTTCACGCTCAAACGTGCACTTCCTTGGAATATGTCGGCTGATGCTTCCCCTTATCGGTCGCCGCTGCCACCACAGGAGAAAGGCGTGGAGGAGGCCCTCGCCGAGACTCGTCGGGTCGAGCGAGACGAGGCCGTAAAGCAGAAGAAGGTGAAGAGGGCACGTTTCCTCCCAGAACCCCCCCCCCGTGAGCTTGCCATGCAGCCCCACGCAGCCCTGCCCCCTAAAGCTGGTGTCAAAGGAGCACTCTCCGCGCGCCTCTTTTGTTGGTACTCCCTCCTGCCCGCCTTCCTTGGTCCATGGTTGGAGCGAGAAGAAAACATGGAGATCGATACCAAACTCGGAGAAGCAAGGCTAAAAGGCTGAACTATTGTCCCGAACGTGGTGGTGTCTGCGGGGAACAAGACACCAAGTCGGCCATTCCATCAATTAGGATCGACCGACCGCTCCTCCTCCCCCTGGCCTCAGGTGGCGATGGCAGAGGAGGCTCTTCGCCGAGCCAAGGCGGCGGGCAGCCTCCCCACCGAGGGCGGCCTGCGCGCCGCGGAGGAGAGGATCGACAAGATACGCAAGCAAGCCAAGGCGGCCAGGGCTGCACGAATTGCCCTCGCCAAGCGCGAGGTCCCAGCTGTGGCGGCGGCGGCGGCGACGCGGGCGTCTCAGGTACGGGCATGGAGTGACTGGCTGCCTCTGGTTGGGCGCGCGATTCTGTGAAAGGACTGTACGTGACCGGAGCACGACGGCAGAACAAGCAACGAGGAATCAGTATCCACACAACTAGGAGAGGAAACGATCCCCTGTCTCCTGACACGAAGACTTCACACAACGGATCATGTAGTCGGCTACGTACGCGCCCGTGCTACGATCCTTTCTAAGCTGAATGGCAAGATCCAGGGCTCATGCCCAGCACTTTGGCAGAGGTCTTGAAACACGAACCTGCCGCCACAGAATTCAACTTACGTCGTTCCACGCTCTGTACCATGTAGTGGTGTTGCCTAAGCCACTCATTTTATCGGAACGAACAATGTTACGAATACATACATACGTCCATTGTCGCAGATATGAAAGCCTTGAAAAAAACTAGATTAACTGTACCGCATAGATAGCTCGGTAGATGTACCGAGTCTCCTACTTGTCACTTGTTGTATGTTAGAACTCAAGGTTGTGTTATGTGCCTTTTCCCAACCACGAAACCGGCCGGGTTGTGCTTCACATTTCTCCGTGCTCATAGGGAGGGTTTCTCAACCTGGGTGGGTCGATTGGCCTCGCCCTTCTCGACACCGTGTGGTCAAGGGTGACCTGGGACGGCAGGATACACCAAGCTGAGGAGAACTCCCATCACGGCGTGGAAGGCAGCGGCACGGCAGCGGAATCGGAGGCGCCGCCGTTGCTGTCGCCCGGTGCATGGGAAGCTCTTGAGCTCGAGTTGGGCAGGGACTCGGAGCTGAGGCTCCTGATTGTCGTCATGCGAGTGAGTCTCGCCGGTAATGTGGGGAAAATCGCGGGATGCAGGGGGGAGGGCAGGAGGTTGAGTTTGGAATGGGTCACATGGTATGGGCAGAAGTTGACGAGTATCTCGTGGGTGCCTACATAGAGCGCCGCTAGCCGCCTGGACAATAGCCACACACCGTTTGCTACGTCCTACTGAGGCAGAAACGGACTGTCAGAAGTGCAACAGCGGCCGGGACGCCCTGCATAAACCAATGAGGCAACAGGCGGCGGTCCTTTCAACACAAGGACAACGGCGACCCGACGCTAATTCGAAACACACCTCGCCTACAAAGTCCGAATGTTTGGAGGGTAGTGCGATATAGTTCGAGTAATGTTGCTCTCATCACAATTAGTTGGTGTTCCGCAACCGGCGCGCGGAGAGTCTGGGATCGTCTGCAAAAGCGCACTTCCCTCAAGGCTCTCATTCGCACTTGTTTCTACCCGCCGACGGTCTTTTCGTCCACGGTGCGCAAGTTTGACATGCACCTTGCCTTGCCTCCTCGCCGCCTCTGCTTCCTCGCTGCATCAATTGCTCAACTAACAACACATACAATGAAGCACGCACTAGCGGGAGGCACGCCGCACACCACAGCACGCTTTCACTCGGAATCTAGCGGCAACGACCAGGTGTCGGGCACCGCCAAAGCCTACGGCAGCGGCAGAAGCAATCTCGACGGTAATCCGCCGTCGCGGTCAAACTCGGCCTCGATCTCGGCCTCGGATGTCACCGATGACACCGGTAGCGGTGGGCGGGACGAGAGGGACCGCCTCTTAGAGCGCCTCTTCGCGTGGAAAGCCGGCGAGGCGTGGAGGGAAGTGGTGCTGGTCTGCGGCGCGGCGGACGGGCGAGGCGGGCGCGGCGGGCTGCGCTCTGCGTGCGAGTTGGAGGTGAGGAAGACAGCAGAAGAAAGAGGACGCCCTCGCTGTCTTGGATTGGGCAGCTCGGCGCTCTGACTTGGATTGGGTAGCTCGGTGTCAGAAAGAATCTTGCGCCATACGATCCATCCTCCGGTATCCATCCCTACACACCCGACTGTCCGCCGGACGAAGATGACGACACCATCGTGTGGCAACCCCAATCCCCAAAACCCCAGGTGCCCGCACCCAGCCTCCAACAATCTCTCCTTTTTCCAGGTTTTGGACTCGAAGCACCCGGGGTGTACCATCCGCCAGGTCATCGCCGGACCCATCACGGACACTCCCGGTGCGCCGCCGAGGGCGACGCCCGCCACCCTGGACCCAACAACCGATCATCGGGGGTCCCGCGCCCCCTCCGAAGCCACCAGCGTTGGCGGCGGCCGATTCTCTTTCCGATGGAGCCACCGCGGTTCCGCCAGCAGTGGATCGGCTGCCGGCGACGGCGACGACGACTCGGGGCCCAAGGGCACGGCTCTCTCCTCCTCCTACCTCGACGAGGCCAACGCCGTCGCCGCCGGCTCCTTCAAGGACGACGTCAGCGCGATCACGACCGCACCCGAAGCAGGGTCGGCGCGCCCGTCCTCCCAACAGAACAAACTCGACGGCGAAGGTCCAGTGTTGCCGCAAGCGAAGGCGGTGGCCGCAACAGCACCGCGCTGGGACGACGACGATGCCGGAACGGCGCCACGGCAATCGACGACGACCGCGGACGGATGGGAGCGACGATCCGCGGCGGCGCCCGTGTACGCGCACGGGGAGCGGAGTTTCATCGAGGCTTTCCTCGACGGGGGCCACTCGCCTGCCACGGCCGTCGCGGCCGGGATGGACCCGGCGGCGAGCGCGCGGGGGGTCGCGGCTCACGTGACGGCGAGGGCGGTGACGGTTACGTTTGTCGGCGCGGCGGTGGTGCTGGGGCCCGTGGTGGGCAGGGTGACGCAGCGGTCCGCGGTGGTTCTCGTGGAGGTCGGGAGCACGGCCGCGGTGGGGTGCGTGCTGACCGACGGGGCGACGGGGTGGCAGCACAAACAGGTAAAATGGGGAGGATGTCTGAGGAAGAATATGAGTGCTGTATCCCTTGCGACACCTACGCAATTGTTCATGGTTCTCGCAAGCCTAATTATGTCCGAATCCAACATCTAGTATGTACTTCGATCTGGCTAATGCAATGAAGTTTGGAATTCAGCACGCCAGGACCTATGATGAGACCTCGCGATACGTTGGTAACGAAAGATTAGGTAAATATTATACAGAAAGGGCTCTACGTTTGACGATGACCAAACGCTCCGATCGCTTTCTCCATTCGTATGCCATCCCCGTGCAATTGAAGCCGGCACCACACCTTGAGCACGTAAGGGTTGCCACTGAGCAACACCCTCCCTCTCGACGTCCCAGGACAAGCACACAAAAATTCGTAACATAGCCCCGCTTTGTTTGCGTGGTGACCGTCCCAGGACACACCTCTTTCACATTTTTCGGAGATGTCACCACTATACCGCGAGGTTTAGCTCTATCTCTAGGCGCTAACCAGGGAGCGTGTAACATCTCTTCACTACACCGCGAACGCGACCCCTACCGCCGCACCTCGCCTCGCCCCTCCCCATCCAGGTGCGCCTCCTCTACCCAAGGCAACCGCATGCGTTCTTCTTCGACACGCTGGACGAGAGCCGGCACTACACCATATTTCTCGAAGGGGTAGACAACGGCGACGCACGCACGGGGGCTTTCACAACGCTCAAGGTGACGGCGGCGCGAGTCCCCTCTGCCTGCACTTGCAGCTCTGAACAACACGGTACCATGACTGTTTCCTGCCGATTTCGTGTTCCTCGAAGGACTCGCGTCGCGCGGCACACCCGAGCTGTAAGATGCAGTCATTTACGGTTTCGAACTGTGTAATACTCCCGAATCCCCTTCCTTCGCTCTCTCGGTCCTGTTCCTTGCTCGCTCGACGTCTTTCTCTACCCTGACCACCCGCATCACTGTTTCCGCGTGCCTCCGCGCCCTCCCTGTACCCCCCACACCCCCGCGCTCGCTGTGCTCCAGGCATGGCCGGACCGTCGGGAGCCCCCCGCCCTCCGAGCTGCCGCACGCCTTTCCGGCAGCGGTGGCGGCGACGACGACGACTACGAGCAATCTCAATCATGCGACGTGCGCCTCCTCTTCGTCAGCGGGACGGGGCTCGCTAACGCCGGACGGGGGGAACTCCGAGACGAGAGCCACGGTGGTGCTAGCACCGCCACCGCCGGCGAGGCGACGGCGGCGGACATGTGGGGCGTGTTGGGGCGGGAGCTGTGGAGGCCGTGGCCGCAGGCGGATGTCGTCGTGCACACGGGCTCGCAGGTGAAAGGTTCGAAATATGTTAGCGGGAGCTCGTTTCTCCCTGAAGGAACGAGAACGGCGGACTATGGTGGCGGTAGTGCTGAGGGTGATAGTCGTACGCCAGGAGGCGGGTCTCGCTGGTGTAGATCTAAATGGAGGAACGGTAGTGTACTTTACTGTAGGAACGGTCAACGGTCCGAGCTTTGTGTGGTATCGCCCCGACTGCTGTGCTAAGAAGGGTACTCTGAATCCCGCCCAAAACAAGCAGAACACCACGGACGATTCTTGTAGACTGCGCACTCCACCGCCGAGGCAATCGACCTGGAAGCGTTTTAGCACAGAAAACCTGAAGCCTAAATAAGGCGCATTCTGAAGAAACCCACGAGCACCTTTAGAACAGGACCTTCGACGACGATGCACGGCGTCACTCCCCCGATAGATGTTTCCTTCGGCAGAGACCGAAGTGCAGCCTTTCGCTCGTGAACGACGGACCAATTTTAACGGAAATAGCGCCGCTTCCTGCTACTCTCCGGTTCACGCGCATTAGGTGGACCTTGAGGTCGCCGTGATGGAGGCGTTGCCTATCCTGTCTGCCGCGGAAGTGGAGGAAGAGGGTTCCGAGGAACGCGAGCAAGCCGAAGAGATGGCCATGGAGCGGGTGGGATGCGATATCAGAAACGTTGCTTGTTGCTGTTTGACTACCCGATAAAACATGTTGAATCTCCTAAAGGATAGGCCCTCGCGGAATAGGCAAGAGAGGTGCTTAACGTGTCGCAAGCATTGATCTTTCTATGGTCCTGGAGGTGTTGGGAACTGCGAAACCTGTTTTCCCGCCCGTACACCACCTTCTCATGCGCCTGATAATCTGGACGCATCTCCACACCCCCACCGTCCACACCTGTTCATTGGCGTACGCAGCGAACTGTCCAGTTTAGCCAAAAGGAGAACACCCAACCGACAGCAAACGTTGGTTCGTTCGCCGTGCCTACCAACGGGCGCTATATAGTCTCAACAAACTCTAGCTCCATCCCCCCATCACCATGACCAACCTCACGCCTCCTCCGCCTCCCCGCTATAAATCCAGATCCGCGACGCCTACCGGTTCCAGTGGAGCCTCCCCGGCGCGAGGGCATGTCTCTCTTGCGGCAGTCACCTCATGGTGAGGGGCGAGGCAGACCTAGCGCTTCCTCAGCTCGACGGCTCTTCACGCCGATCCTCGTCCTCGACTACCTCTAGCGCGGCCGGAGGCGTTGGGGAAAGCGCTGGCCGCGGCCGTCGGGGCGGCGGTGGAGGCGGCGGCGAGACTCTGGCGGTAGGAAAGGGAGGGGGCCAAGGGGGTGGGCTCCTTGGTCTGCAAGTGAGCGCATACGCGCGGATTACGCTCGCTCGCCTGGCTTCACAGGTGACGAGACGTATGGGGCCATGGTGGGGAGTCGACTGGTATGATATAGCAATGACCCACAGCAGCAAAGTTGTGGTAATGATTAGATGTTTTTGTATTGGAAGCAATATCGAGGTTTTCGGACTTTCCAAGTGGCGGGACGACTTGTATGGTGGTCGAAACCCTTTGTGTTCTTGCACCAGACGTGTCAGAGCCCCCGAGACTTCGCCACTGAAGGCACAGCTGTATGCGTGACAACAAACCTTTGCGAGTAGTCGGGGCTGAACGACCCCGTTCTTTGCTTTTCTTTTCTTCCCCGCTCCAAAAGAACCCTCAAGCGCCCACAAAGATGTACCCCACACGCTGATTCCGAGCTTCTTTTTTTAATCGCGTGAAAACCTCGAAAGGCGTTCGACGACTACCAGCGGCAGCTGTGGGATCCCCTGTCCGTGCCCATCGGTCTCGACATGAACGACGTGGGCTATGCTCGCGGGGGGCCAGGTATCGACAGCGTAAGGTTGGGTGACGGGTTCTTCCGAAATGCCACGAGTGTCGGGGGCGAAGGAGAGTGGCACTTTCACGTGTACGGGGAAACGGTCGGTATTTTCGCGCTGGACGTTCGCCAGGGAAGCGCGGGGCTGCAGGTGTGATATAACAGGCAGAGGCAGAGTTCGCTACGGATCGTGGGTGCGTTCATCACTGCTAAGTTTATTGTCCGGGCTTGGTTTGTGGGGATCTCCGCCGAGGTCGCAACCCAAACAAGCTGACGGCAATCTCCTGAAACCCGCCACCTCGCGATTGGAATCTAACCACAATCAGGAGGAGTTTCGAGGCACACGCGGGGTCAGCGGGCGGCTTGACCGGTAGAAAAATTTAACCTAAAACGACCCGTATCCCCCTCCCCCCCTCCCTACACCTTCTTGCCCAAACGGGGAAAGCGCGACGAGCGTGCTCCACTTCTTTCCGACACGCAGTGGTCGTCTCTGGCGCGAGCCCTTAGCATCGAGGAGATCCAGGCCATGGTCGTCGTGGGCGATGCACCGTTCGTGTCGGACTCTATTCTTGATGCTCGGGCCAAGGCTCGACACCCGTCGCAGGTGAGGGTCGTCGGTTTGACTCAATTGTGCTTGCTGTGCAATCCGTTGGCCTCTCAATGTGTTACATCCGACGACTTCCCGAAAAAACGTCTTATCAACCATGGTGTTCTAAAACGGCAAGTGCGTGATCACTTTCCCTACATGTTTCCCTCCAACGCAGATCAATAGAACACGCGCACAATACGCGGTTCACGTTGTTTCAGACGTGTTTCGTACGATCAGCGAGTCCCAAGCATCCTCCCTCTTGCCCCGGCTTGGTGCAATAGCCTCGCCACCCCGCATTGGCTGCCGTCCGGCTGTGCCCCACCCTCGGCAAACAACCCCCAAAGCCCTTAACACGCCATCCTGGACAGTTACCGGTCTCACACCTACCCACGCCTTGTTCGACGTGTCTTGTTGCAATGCGAAGGCTCACCTGCGGCGCTCGTGGCCGTTTCACGGTGGCGAGCTTCTGCGATTGGTGGGGATGCTGGTAGAGTGGAAGACCGCTGGGGCAGTCGGGGGAGAACCTCGCGAGGTGGTCCATTGCTTTGGTTGTTGCTGTTGCTGATTCGGATGCTACAAGATTCAGGTAGAGCTTTTACTCCCTGTACAGCTAGAGGCCAACCTTTCACGTGCACTGGTCACATACACATCGGCTCTGGCACCAAACACGTTTCCATTCCGAACAATATTAAATCTCCCTCTCTCCTCCCAAGCGTCACTAGTTCACCAACGTGGGCAAACGTAGAAGCCGCACACTCAAGCACACTTCCTGCTTTACTACTGCGTGATTGCCTCGACTTTACACAACAGGCTACCCTGATCGGGGGAGGTGTACAATACCCGCTGGAAACCGTCATCAACGATTCTGCGTCGTCTATTGCTATCACGCAGGTACGGCCACTAACTAACCGTCTGGCTATGCTGCCTTTCTCCCGACGGCATCGAACGTTGTTTTACGTACGCAAATGTGTAGTGCCCTTGGCCATCCGATCTTGACAACGAGGTTGTGAAAGCGCTCTTCGCTGTGATTACTGGCGGGGATACAGGAAATGGCAACGATCACGATGCCCATCAAAAGCACGAACTTTCCGTAGGCTTGAGGATGACAGATACTCACAATCGAAGGACGTTTTCCCCCCTCAATCATCGCCCCGTTCTCTTCCCTGATCCACGCTCCACACGGCATGACTTCCTACGACGCACTGCCGGTATAGACGGTCTGCGGGCCGTTCTACGGCATGCCGTCCCTCCATGGAAGGGTGTTCGAGCCCGCGGGCGCGCTGAGTCATCGGTTTTCCTACCACCACACGATCAACGACCCCCGCGACGAAGGAGGACGGGGGCAGCAGCAGGAACAGCCTGACGGCGTTCTCCCGGCGTCAGCTGGGTCGGACTTCAAAGTCATGCCCCCGCCGCGGCCGCTCAGCTCTACATCAGACCGGCACGACGAAAACGGCAGCATCGAAAACGGTGCCCTTGTCCCCGAAATCGACAGTCAGTATCGATCCCCCTCGTGCGTCCTGGTGCGGTGCGAGGCCAGGGGGGCGGGACCTAGCGCCCGCCTCTTGCTGCGGAACCGCTTCTTCACAGCCTCCTCGTGGGCGGCCTGGTGCAGCGATGGAGATGCCGGCGCAGCAGCGAAATCAGCTATACCGGCATCGCCACTACCCCTCTCCACCGAGACGAATGCGCCTCCGCCATCAGAGCCACCAGCAGACACAGGACGGCCAAGAGCGGCCCCGCGGTGGGCCGCCACGGCGTGGCAAGAACAGGCCGAGACCACCTCCAAAAAACAAGCTGGAGGAGGGGGAAGAGGAGCAACGGAAGCAGCGGATACCCTAGCAACGCTTTGCGCGGACGAGAGTCTTGCTGACGTTCTCCTTGAAGCCTTCGACCGAGTGTTAGACATAAACGAAGGCGAGGATGAGGATGAAGCATTGGCGGCCGCGCGGGCTGGGACCGGAGACGCAACTCGGAGGGTGTTCGAGAGTCTGGACTGGGTGTACAACAACGTGAGACGCTTTGGATTGGTAGGTCATTCATTTGCTCGCTTGAGGCTTCGTTTAGTCTTGGTGGTCTTGATCTGGCGGAATCGTGTCAGCGTGTACAGGTGGGGATAGAAACAACGGGTTGGAAGGAGTGTTGAAGTCTACCCACGTTTTCCGTCGGAGGGTAAAAGTGCGAAACTTCTAGAAGTGGCAAGCACTATCATATGAAGAAGTCCCTCTAAATCATGCAAACCATGTGATTCAAGTAACCGATGGCCTCCTACCAGCTGCAATGCTGTCGCCCTCCTTCTTGAGCTTCCCTTCGCTCTCCTGCCTTCCCATACCTTATTCACCGACTGAACCGGAACCATCAACCGACGGCAGGCTGCCTGCGCCAGGGTCCGTGCGCTGTACCCCACACGCCCGTCCCCCATTGTGGTTCGTCACCTTCTGAAGCCGGCGCAGCAGAAAGGCAGCGGGTCCAGCAACAACGCGGACGAAATCAAGGTGCCGCCACGACCAACAAAGGCCAGGGAATCAGGCGAAACGACCATCGCGAAGGGTCGGCAGGACAGGAGCGGTCAAAGGGGAGGCGGGGAGGGGAAAAGGACGAAGCGGTCGAAGACCAGAGATGAGGGCGCGAAAGAAGGAGAAGCAAGGTCGTTGCTTCCGTCGTGGCTGTTCGTGCACTTACCGTTTCACGACGAAGAGAGCTTTGCCGAGTTTTTCTGCGAGGTTTTGAGGGGCTCAGAGCGTCTGGCGGCCGGGTTTGCCTAGGTTCTCGGTCGCTCACCCTAACACTGGTGGGTGACCGCGTGTTGGGGCCGGTTGTACCAAAATCTCACAAGTGACCATAGAAGCTTTCGAGGTCGTATCGCTCGTGTCTCGTTCGACTGCTATAACGTACGTTGTTGCGGGAAGATCGTACCCCAAAAACTCGTGCTATATCGGGCAGATAGACTATGGCTTATGGCAAGGGGATTCTTAGACGAGTATTTGGGTAGGCCGATGATGAGTTTTCGAGAGTTGTAAAGACGCGGGAAAAGCTTCTGATACCTCTTTTGGAAAGGGTTTATCCTGGGGATATGGATGAGATGTGAGTGTTGACGTCATCGTTTCACACCACCAAGGCATCGACTGAATGCCCATTGTCGCTCAGGGCTCTTTGTAGCTTTCGTTTTAATATATAGCGCCTACACCGCGACGCGACGAGACATTGATGATGGATCGACCTGTGCGATCCTCAACAAACGCATGAAGGCTGTTAAGGTATTTGGAGGTAGACGTGTGATCGTGGTTGACCATGGTTATTTGGCGTCGTCGGATGCTAAGACGTGACGTCATGCTGGATCAGGGCTGTACGCCGATAGGCATGTGCCCTGCTGTTCAATGTGCGTGCAGACGATCCATGATCGTGTGTGCGTGGGATATTGTGGGTTAGCTTGGAAAGCGTTAATCAAGAGAAAGAGAACAACGGAAAGCAACAACAACCTGCTCCTGTGGTCGGACAAGAGAGTCCACACAGTACAAAGGTGATTGCTTCTGAAGGAAGGGGTCAATCAAATACCATTACAAGGGGAAACGTCACCAATATCGTGGTTGGTGGTTGGACTATGTACTGCACAGAACAAGACTGGTGAGATCTGGACAAAGACGGATTTCCGTTGGGGGACACTTTAAGGCCGCTTTCCAGAAGCAAGTACACGGGACTGGCAATAGCAGCTGGGTGTCGCTCGGTAGTGCCAGGCGTTACGCTGGTGGCGGCTACGAACCTTTAATTGCCAAAGACCTTTCTTCAGCTGGACGAGTAGCGCATGGGGAAGCCAAAGCTGGTGGCCGTGCTTTCTGCTGTGTAACTCCCCAACGTTTGGCTCTCCGACTACTGCATTGGTATCTGTTCATGAGCATCTTTGCACCTAGACTTATTGCTTAAGGATGTCTTGACCTCTCACACCGCAATGACAAACCTGGAAAGCGTAGACTAGATGTCTACAGAGACTACACTGGTGTGCCGGCCGCTAAGACTGCTGTTGCGTTGATACACAGCAGTACAGTAACGACACACTAAATAAATCAGCTGCGCTCGACAACCTCAAAATGAGTATCCCCCGAGGTTATCGACTCCTTTTACACTAAGAGACTTGGAGTCGAGAGGAAAGGAGGGAGAGGGAGAGAGAGAGGTCTTGCTTCTGCGCACTGCTGCGCTGCTGCGGCGCCAACCAGCTGGCCAACCACACGCGGTGCGTTTTTTGTGAACTTTTTGGCCTCCGAACAGGCACCCCCGCAAATTCAGAACCTCCGATGGAGAACCAGTTATCGATGGAGGCATGGAGTTAGGGAGCAGAGGAGAGGGGCAGCAGAGGCAGCACCATCGGAGCACACACACATTCCACACGAGTGAGCGCACCTTCTTGCGTTTTTTCAGCAACGCAGCCGGTACCATGGCGATCCCTCTAGACGAACTGCCGCTGAGGGTGCGCACAGTCAAGATTGTGGGAAACAACCGGACGAGGCCCTACGTCGTGGAAGATCAGCTCCAGGTTCGCTTGCGTGCATGCTATCCGAGCAAACATTGCCACATAAGTAAGCGCTGGCGGTGTGTTTGCGATTTCGGGCGATGTCCGCAACGCGCTTTTTTTACCTCACCCAAAGAAAGTGCGCAAAGTCCCTTCACCTTCACTGCACGTGCTGCTATCTTGGTCTTGGTCTGAACTATGGTTCTGCTCTAGTATTGGGCAGTAGGCAGTATCCATACAGGAGTACTCTACATACGCTGAAGAGTGTAGGACACGTCTCACCACGAAAAATGGGGGGATTGTCGCCATAATAAATAGGACGAAAACACACACACACATACAGGCAGTAGTATACACTCTGTGGCTGTTTCTCTGCATGGACGGGAAGGAGTGTGACGCTGTGTACCGACAACCGCACACAACACGCACGACAATGCAAAACAGTGCCCTCAGTCCAGATCCAGCCGCTGCTGCTACCACGATTGCTTATTTTCGTTCTGCCCCCTGGAGCGTGCTACAACCGCGATCATCTCACACACCTCCGACTCAGCAGGAGGACGACGCCTGAAGTACGGCGTGGGTTGCCTTAGAAACCACTCCCCCCTGGACCAATGTTCAATGCTCGATTACTCCATGACGAAGAAGATGCAACAACCCAAATGGTACGATACGTGTTCGGAAAGCTCTCGATAAGACGGTTCCACCGCTGCTTCTATTTTCGGCACCGTCACTGGTTTTGCTGCAATGTAGTCGGGGGTTTGCAAATCGCTCCTGGGGGTGTGGTATCTAACGCAAAACACGATACGCAGAAATGGTACGCAAACATCGTGCAGAGCTAGAGATTGGGTGGGTAACACAGCAGTCAATCTGTTTCTCTGCACGATTATTGTTGCATCTTTGTATTTTTCAATTTTTGGTGTTGGCGGGGAAGACATATATACGCGGGCGGACAGAAGGGCCTCTGACACGTCTCGGCGGGGTTTCTTGACTGCCTTGACTTGACGCTGCTTTGTTCGATAGGACGCCTATGAGGCGACGACCGTGGGCGATGTCTACGGCGGTCTGGTGGAGGGAGCACAAAGGCTCGATGGTGAGTGAGTCAAGGTTGGCATGTTCTTTGAACGGCGGAGGCGAAAAGGGTGGTAGGTGTTCCAGGGGCAGCAAGCAGCCTACTATGATACAAGATAACACGCACCCTTGGCCGATTTTCGAAGCTCGATTTCTCAACTGCCGGAACAGTCACAGCGCCGAAAACGGCGGCGTTGATACCGTCTCGTCGAAAGCTTTTCGAAAATGTATCGTTTCGTTTATGCATCCTCTTCGTCGTGGAGTAATCGAGCTTTGAAAGTCGGTCCAGGGGGTGTGTTATCTTGTGTCATATATGGTACATGTACACGGGCGCGAGGAATGTGTGCACAAGAAGGGAACATTGGCATTGCTGCCAGGTAGCTTATCCCGTGATGTATCAGATCCTCGAGCAGGGCGCGGTGTCATCACGCAGAGTGGTACCGACCCTGGAGAAAACGAGAGTGTGGCCCAAGAAGCTCGCTTTCTTTGTGGGTGCACGCAAGCTTGGGGAGGGGGAGTTGTGCAACGGAGGTGAAGCATAGTCAATTGTTTTTTGTTGTGTCGTTTGGAGATACTGGGGAGCCACGCATCTTGGACCCATCTGGTTCAGTGCGTTGTTTCAGTTGGCTTGGGGCTTGGATTGCTTCTGTGTTGCGTGACGGCCTTGCAAGGCAAAAAAAAAGAAAAGGAAAGCAGGTAGTACAGTTAGGGGTGTTAAAGCGGCGGAATTTGGGGTCAAAAAAACGTCCGGTCCATTCGGCAAAATTTGAGGGGGGCACGCGGATTTGGTTCTTTTTTTGGTTCTTGAGAATCCCGCTGTTAATACTGAATAACCTATACATCAAGTGAATTTGTTTGTACAGGTAGCTCTGCGTCCACACAGCAGCATGGCTCTTCATGCGTTACACACCCCTGGACACAGGTCCAATAGAGGTGACTGTAGAATTGGATTCTCTTGAAGTTAAAGGGCGGACGAACAGCACCAAAAAAACACGTCTTTTTGGGCTTTTTGCTCCACGCCCAAGGCGACCTTTGCTCCTCTCGAAAAAGCGATCTTACAGCCCTCTACCTTGGGTTTACAGCTATACCACACAACAAACCGCATCCGAATCGCATCAGCCAACCACGAGATCTACATGTCTGAAAACGGCCCCTCCAGTGCGGCTGCAGCGCCCACACCAGCGGAGCGTCCGAAAAAAAAAAAAACGAGATCCGCGCCGTTCGCCAGCAGGAGGCGCGCTGCGCAAAAGCTGAATCTAAACAAAACGAAGTTTGAAGAGAGGACGGGGCAGTGTATGGTTGCCGCGTCAGCAGAAGATAACACGCGGCGCGCTATCGAAGGCGGCAGCCTCACCGTCGTAGAGAGAATGCTGGAGGAAACGAAGGGGGAGTTGGTCAAAAGTAAGAAAATTGTGGAAGAGAGCCAGGCTCAACCTCGCTGCCGCCGCCGCCGCCGCTGCTGCTGCTGCTGCTGTTTTTTTCAGCAGCAGNAGCGGCGGCGGCAGGTGCCTGCATGGCTTCACTGCCGGGCTGCTGCTCGGGTGTGTCATGAGGCGTGTGTTCTAGAGTGAGACCGCGCAATGGTGTTGTGCTGTGCCCCATAGCAGGGCGCAAAGCACACAGGCGAGCCGCGCCCTCGCGCGTGCGCGTCAGGGGGGCTTTTCGGGAGGTTCCGACGGTTCCGTGCAATTTCATTGGTTAGTCGATTTTCCATCAGCAAGATCCGAGGACGCTTTTTCGAATTTTTTCCTATAGGAAATTTTCCGCTTTGACACCCCTAACAGTAGAGAAGGAGGTATAATCATTGCATTTTCGGCCACGACCCATGTCCACTACCAGCATGGCTTGAGAGGGATAAGTGGAAGAAGGGAGCGTACAGCAAGAAACGTGAAAGGCCATTGAGAGGAAGAGAGAGTGGGGTCCAGACAAAGAAGAAGCAAGAAAGGGAGAGGGTCAAGAGGATGAGGTTTCGGAACTCAGGCCTTCATGGAAAGCTTGTGCCAGCTTCGTAGTAGCCGCATGTACGTGACCTTGTTCCTCCAAATACTCGTACAACTTGAGCAATGCAACATACCGTAGACTAAGGAGTTTTCCCCCCTTAGTACAGACTGCCCTCCCCCCCCCAGCTGCATACTGAAACCTCACAGGTTGATTTATATTGGAGATTGCCAGACACATAGACGTGTTGAGTGAGGATAGCTGCAT